TGAGTACACCTCTCTAGCCCAGAGTTCAAATTCCTGCTCAGTCATGGAAACCCATTGATTCATGGAAGCCTTGGGAAGTCACACACTCTCAGGTCAGAGGAAGGCAAAGACAAACCTCCTTTGAACAAATCTTGCCAAAAGAATCCTGTGATAAGTTTGTTTTAGGGTTGCCATATACTGGAAATGACTTGAAGACACACAACAGCATCATCAACAATAAGTCTAAGGAATATCCCCACTTTGCAGCTGCTATTTTCCTGCATGTGGTGTACTTCCCCGAGACTACGTTATTCTTCCATATTAAAAAATTGTAGAGGGGAGGGATTGGAAGCTATCACCATTGCTCTGATAATCTGGAATCCCAAAATCTGGAGATAATATCTTGACATGAAATAAGCCACTCCTAAACTAGCATCCAAGGAATGCTGATCTACACTCTCCTGGATGCTATAGCATTCTTTTGCATCTTTGAGTGAAAGCATACATCAAGTTGTGTTACCCAACCTGGTAGCCCTCCAGAGATTTTAGCCAGCATGATCAGGAATGATGGAGCTGTGGCAGGTTGGGCAAGATTAATGATTTATTGATAATTAATAAATAATTGTTATTAATAATAACAACAAGACAAAGAAGCAGAAGATAATAAATGATAATAATAAATGATAATATTGATCATTAATAAATGCTTGCCTGATCCTTAGCAATTTGAGATGGAAGTAAGTACCTACGAGGTATAGCCTGGGATGTCTGAATACCTGGCTAAAACAGGACAACAGCCAAAAATTATTTCCTTAGAATGACTGTGTTGAGATTGCTTGATGAATGTGAACAGCTAATTTATGCTAATGATGTAGCTTAATGACAGCTTATTTAATATCTAGTGCATCTTGTGCTCAATTATTTGACAATGTTGCTTCCTCAGTCTCCTGAGTCATTGGACACAGCAAGCCACTTCTTGGAGTGCACACGCATGAATAGTTCAGTTGATTTCTGTATGTGTATGCTTGAATGATGAAACATGGAAATATACCTAAAGAC